TGTCGAAAGCGTTCAGTTCCATTTACTCCATTCCTCATTCATCATTGGCTTTGGGAGGTACTTAAGGGGCGAATATACCGGTTGGGATGCTTTCAAAATATCCGCACGTACAAGGCTCACTTAGAAACTTAAAAAATAACTAGGATTGTACCAGTGGCCACATTTGGCCGAGTGGGGCGATGGCAAATTTTTTCCTCGTAACCATCGGCCTTTAAATTCAAATAGGCCTAATTTGAAGCCATGTGATACTCATCAGAAAGCCTCCTTGAAACGATAGAGACCTTTTTTGGTCCTGTCCAGCCTGTCTGTCTCTTTATAAGGCTGTCAATGGTTAGCTTGCCATTGCTGCTGTTGAGAGCATTTAGTGACACATTCCCTGCAAAAGCATAACGTAAGTGGAGACGCAATGGCTTCCCTTATTTGCCGCTCCTTTCCTCTGCCTATAATCCGGCTATAACATAATCCGATCGATATTTTTGTCTGGGAGAGACTGGCAGGACTGGCAGGGCTGTTTTTTTCACTTTCCCCGTCCGTTGGGCACCGGCATCGGCGCCGGCACTAGAGGCCGATGGCCGATAGGGCTGATAGTACAACACCCACGGCCGATAACGGTGCTAGTCGATACATCGGTACAGCCCTAAAAATAATAGAGAGTCACTTCTTAAAATAATGATTGGACCAGTGAAAATTACTCTATTTCAGCGGAATTTTGTCCATAGACATCCGAAAACGAGGAATATCTCTGAATCTACCGTACCGAATTATTAATACTAGGGATTCGTCGCATACCACAGAGGGAAGGTACGGTGACCTTCAGGAGGAGGTTGGTTTCCGGCGCCGATTCCACGTTGACGTCTGGAGGTCTGGTTGTGCTCGTGCTCGTTGTTGGTTTCACTGCGAAATTCATCATTAAATCCTTAAAAGGAGGACTATACAAGCGAAAGCCGAGAAAGGAAAATATTTACAGTTGGGAGATCTCACCTGCAACAGGATTCGACTGCGTTACTTGTGGGACATTAGCGGAGCCGGATGTCTGAGGATAGAGATTTGTGCTGGATGTTTTAGGAGTGGTTGATGTCAGCAAAACGCCACCAATATTGGATGTCCCAGCAGAAGACCCCGTTTGTCCAATGGAATTTTCAGACGTCCCAAGAGTAGAACCAGTTGTCCCACCGGTTGATCCAGACATAACAGCAGTGGTCGGGTGAGTCTCAGTAGCTGCCCCTTGAGTTGTCCTTGATCCAGGAAAGGTCTGCCAGGCGCTGCTGGATGACTGTCTGGCATTTTCCCTAGGTGTGTTCACAATGTCAAAGGACCCAGTGGAGCTGCGATGTACCAATGTGACGGATTCAGGTTTGGTCCCTATATTTGACGTCTGACTAGTCCTGCCAGAAGTCTGCGTTACAGCTTTTGCAGTAGTGGTCATGGGGGTCGTCTGACTAGTGGCGATAGATTTCTGTGTGACAGCCTGTGCAATGGTGGTCATGGGGGTCGTCTGACTAGTGGCGATAGATTTCTGTGTGACAGCCTGTGCAGTAGTGGTCATGGGGGGCGTCTGACTAGTGGCAATAGATTTCTGTGTGACAGCCTGGGCGGTGGTGGTCATGAGGGGCGTCTGACTAGTGGCGATAGATTTCTGTGTGACAGAATGTGCAGTGGTACTCAAAGGGGTCTTCCAATCAGTGGCGACAGATTTTTGTGTTACAAGTTCTGTGGTGATACTCACGTCAGACGCCTTACTTGTTGTGCTAGATGTCTGTGCTGCAGGTACTGTGGTCGTACCTGTGTCAGATGTCCCACTTATGTCGCTAGTCGTCTGTGTTCTAGGATCTGTGGTGACACTCACGTCAGACGTCTTACTTGTGGTGGCAAATGTCTGTGTTGCAGGTACTGTGGTCGTGCCTGTATCAGATGTCCCAATTATGTCGCTAGTCGTCTGTGTTCCAGGATCTGTGGTGACACTCACGTCAGACGTCTTACTTGTGGTTGCAAATGTCTGTGTTTCAGGTACTGTGGTCGTACCTGTGTCAGATGTCCCACTTATGTCGCTAGTCGTCTGTGTTCTAGGATCTGTGGTGACACTCACGTCAGACGTCTTACTTGTGGTTGCAAATGTCTGTGTTGCAGGTACTGTGGTCGT